TTGCTCTTATCTTCTGAGGTGATTTGGGATATACGAGTCCTATGCACAATTCTACTAGTTGTTGCCTCTACAACCCATACATCTGTGACTATTAAAACTGAAACAAAAACCCAAAAATCAAACCACCAAAAAAAAAAAACCCTGAAACACTTGATGCCTGCTTCTACTCTCCTACCTTCCATGCAAGATAAGAAATTTAGAATTTCATTACTTTCTTTGGCCCTCCACTAATAATTATAATCAGGTTTCTACTTCTTAATTAAAAAAATATTTTGGGGGATTCACCTCTCAATTAGCTGGGTATATATTAACACTGATTTCTACTTCTATTTCTATTAGTATGGTTTTCTCCTTAGAATCATAATTTTCATGTTGGCTTTCTGATCTCTGACTTTCATATCTAACATTATTTCTCTCACAGCTTTTTCTTTACCCTTTATATTTTGGGAGAGCTTCTCAAGTTTCTCTCTCATCATGTACTTGTTTTATTTTAAATACTTTCTGCTCTTTACTGCTTTCCAAAGTTTAAAAAATCTCTGCAAATACGTTTCTAGGCTTCTCTTTCCCTCATTTCAGCTGTTCTTGTGTGTCTCTAGCCTTTTAATTCTCAACTTATTCTCTCCTTACAGGTTCCTACTCATATTTCAAAGAGGCTGGTTATGTCCTTGAGCATTTTTGGAGAAGATTAGCACATATTACTTCTCAAGTTTTCCTCTGAATCATACAAAAAACAGTTTTCTGAAACTGTTTCTACTCTGAGTCCTCAGAGCAAGTCATCCTTTCCCCTAGCTTGTAATTTCTCTTTATAGGTCCCAAATAGTTCTTTGTGTTTAGGGGTTCGTCAGGGGGAACAATCAATTCAGGCAGAGCCATTATCAAAAACCTGGCTGGGGGCTTCCCTGGTGGTGCAGCGGTTGAGAGTCCGCCTGCCGATGCAGGGGACATGGGTTCGTGCCCCGGTCCGGGAAGATCCCACACGCTGCAGAGCGGCTGGGCCCATGAGCCATAGCCGCTGAGCCTGCGCGTCCGGAGCCTGTGCTCCGCAATGGGAGAGGCCACAACAGTGAGAGGCCCGCTTACCGCAAAAAAAAAAAAAAAGAACCCTACTCCCAGTGGAAATAACCACAGAAATCAAAACCTGGGCTTGGCAACACCGAAGACTTAGATAAATAGAAGTAGAACTAGCAACAGATCCCAACCAGATCTGACTGGATGCCACCAAAAGAATTCAGACAACAGGCTGCATGTGACACAGAAGAAAACCTACTGCAAGCTGCTTTCACGCTAATCTGAGCAACTGAGGTAGGGGCTCCTTTTCTGGGATTCCAGTCTAGACTAGGAAAGAGGCCAGGGTGTGGGCATCTTTGCCAATCATGTTCTGCACCCTTAGCACGCAGGTTCGTGTTTATTTGCGGCAATCTCACTAAGGGTTTGGTATAACCGGTCCTTCCCTTTCATTCCCTTAATCACTTCAACAGGGCGGGTAATCTCTAATGAGCATCTGGGGAACAATGACACCTACTGTTTGAGCTACTGTAGCTGCAATAAACTTGCCACATGGGATGGTGGCAGGTGTAGATTTGTAGCTACTATTTCTTTCCTTTGCAAAAAAGGACAAATGGCTCTATGGTGAATTAGGTTAGGTTGGAGAAGTACTGGAATTAAAGAAGACAGAGTTCTTATCACAGAAGACTATTCATCTAGAATGAGAACATCTGAGTGCATGTCTATTTATAAGAGGCCTACCTTACTACAGAAAAGCCTGAAGGCAGTGGAAACGTACAGTAGGCTAACACGTGGTTCAGCCGTAGATATCAGAATAGCAATCACAGAAACCGCAATTCTACAGGGTGAACGGTGGAGCAAGGTAATGACCGAAATGGCCCCTCTCAGTCTCTGTTCCTGTAACCGACCTCCCTACCCCCAGCCACAGGAAGGTCCTGGAACCTCCACTAGTGCACTGCAGCCTCTTGGTATGCTCTGCATCTCTACTCCAGACACAGACCCTCTCTTGCTGTTATAAATAATGCACCTTGTCTCCACTCCAATTGCTCGATGCCTGTCTGATCTACTGTATCTGAGTTCCTTTATAGAGCAGCTATTCTCCTTCCTCTGAAATGGGAGGCCTGCTTTGCCCTCATCCTCTCTCTGTTTTGATTTGGTCTACATGAAGACTGCCCACTCCCAAACTTGCAGCCACTGAGATTTGCCATTCTACCTTATGTCGGACATCTCAGAATAAACCACAAAACGGAATACCCCTCCGTTCAATACCCCATCTCCTCCGCCTGGCTGCCTGTGGCTGAATCTACTTCTGGTGAATACCCACCTCAGATGGGTCTCATCTCTTGATTGGGCCTTTCCTCCCCTGAAAAACCTGACCAATTAACACTGTCGATACATAATATTTAGTATTCAATATCCTTAGCCAGGGAAGATACCATTTTGTCACTACCAATCATTTTTTACTTTTCAAAGGCACAGAAAAAATTATTTTGGATTTAAAAGAGCCAATTTAGTTTTTCATCATGTTAATAAATCATTATGAAATTCATTAGTCATGTAATGACTCCCCTTTTCTAACACTGCAGCAAAGGAATTGTAATAAAGTTGGAGGGAAAGGAATAGAAGACAAGGACATTACAAAAATTTATTTAAAATGTTTAAGCACTCATTTGCTCTTACTAGAGGTAGTGCAAAAAAAAAACGCACTGATTTATACATTAAATTATCAGTGGACATGTTTCTGATTCTAGTCCCAAAATCTAGAACTTAGTCATAATTAACAATCATGTTTTCCTTTTTTTACTTGAATTCTGAACACTAGATTAACTCAAGAAAAGTCAATCTCAAACCAGCCATGCAAATAATTTAAAAAAAACAGTTCATGTTTTATCAATAGATTCTCCCTATTTCATGTCAAGTGGGTAAGAAAAAAAGCTAAATTAACTTGTACCAACCTAATTCTTACATAATTTTTAAATTATCATGTAATTGTACTGGTTGGCAGGAAACCAGGACAAATCAAATGGACCACCATGTTGTCTCAAACTGAAACCTCAGATGTTCCCTGCCTTGCCACAAAGTGATTACGCAACAAGCTTCAAGTAGCTAAAGGGCAGAGCACTACTGCAAACCAGTTACTTGGCCAAGCCTGACTCCCTATGACACATTTCGGAACTGTGGTGGTTGAATTAAAGTCTAAATCTAACACTGAGACTATTGCAACAAATCAGCCTCAGAAACAAACAAAGTATTTATGTGATACCCTGACACTGCTTTTTTTTTTTTTAACATCATTATTGGAGTATAATTGCTTTACAATGGTGTCTTAGTTTCTGCTGTATAACAAGGTGAATCAGCTATACATATACCTATGTCCCCATATCCCCTCCCTCTTGTATCTCCCTCCCTCCCACCCTCCCTATCCCACCCCTCTAGGTGTTCACAAAGCACTGAGCTGATCTCCCTGTGCTATGCGGCTGCTTCCCACTAGCTATCTAGTTTACATTTGGTAGTGTATATATGTCCATGCCACTCTCTCACTTTGTCCCAGCTTACCCTTCCCCCTCCCTGTGTCCTCAAGTCCATTCTCTAGTAGGTCTGTGTCTTTATTCCCATCCTGCCCCTAGGTTCTTCATGACCTTTTTTTTTTTTTTAGATTCCA